TGAAAACATCATAGCTTCAAAGTTAAGATAACTGGCATAATTTTTATTCTTTTCTATATAAATTAAGACCTGAGAAATCTGCTTCAAACATCAATCACTGTACTTTGCATCCATACCATATTCTAAGTCCTATGACAATGCTGCATCTTTGTTGCTAAAGCTCAGAAGTAACATGGATGTGACCTATTTTACTAGGAAAGGACACTGAAGGTCTACTACTTCCATGCTTAGCAATGTCAACAGGACAGAGTAAAAATCTTCTAAAGGGTTAAGAAGAAGGCTGGAGTAGCTCAAGTGGTAAAGCACCAGCCCAGCAAGCGTGAAGGCCTGAGTTCAAAACCTCAGTACCATCAGATAAATAAATAATAGGGCGAGGAGGGGGAAATGGGAATATAATTGGAGGGATAAATACTTGCTCAAAGTACACTGTATGCATGTATGAATTATTACTATGAAATTCCCTCACATTATTAATGTATGCTAATTTAAAAATAAAGTTAACTCTGATTACGAATAAAAAAAAAATTCGGTTAAAGTCTTTTTCAAAGAAGTCACTATGTCAGAGTGGCTGAAAAAAGGTTCCCAAACTTTGGCGTGCTCCACTGCTACTGACTCAATGGTGTAGAATGGGGACTGAGGATTGGCATTTCTATCAAGTTCTCAGGTGACACTGATGCTGCAGTCAAAAGAGACAGTTCTCTAGATCAGTGTTGACAAACATTTCTTGTAAAAACCCAAGTAAATATTTTGGTTTTATGAGTCTCTGTTGCAACTACTCATGGTGCCAAAGTAGGAATGACCAATATGTAAATGAGTAAGTATGGCCATATTCCAATAAAATGTTACTTATCAAGTCTGAAATGTGAATTTCATACCGTTTTCGAAGAATGTTACCTTGGTAATTAAAAAACTGTTTAAGCCATTAAAATGCAAAAATCATTTTTAGCTTGTGAACCATACAAAAAGCTAGATTCGCCCCATGGACCAGTTTGTCAATCCCTAGTCCAGATGAGTGCTTCTTGTGCTGGCTCTTCATCAGCATTAGCTGGAGTGTTATAAAATACCCAATACTGACGCCCATCCCAAAAGATCCCATTTAGTTTGTCTATGCCCCAAGGTGACTCTCATGTACAACTAAGGATAAGAGGTACTAGTCTTACCAAGTTGTTTCCTGTTTTTCCCCAAATGACTTTTAAGGATATTAAGGTTTTGCAATCTTTACATGAATAAAGGTTTCTGGGATTAGTTTAGAAAATGAAGTTAAAAAGATATATGGACTATAGGACTTCTCTCAATCTTCTCAAACATCTCTAACATACTCACACATACTACAGTATACAGTGTTTTCCACAGGCACTGGACCACCAAACCTAGAAAGAATCTTGTGTTCTTGGTTTTTTTTTTTTTTGGGGGGTGGTACTGGGGTTTGAACTCAGGGCTTCGCACTTGCCAGGCAGGCACTCTACCACTTGAGCCACTCTGCTAGTCCCACATCTTGTGTTCTTGATAGCATTTGGGAAGCACTGCTCTAAATCTTTCATACAAAAATAATACCAGATACCTAAGTACCACGTACCAGAACTTAAGTACTTAGGTCCATAAAATTAAGACCAAAATATGAGAGCAGCATGGTGGTTCATGCCTATCATTCTGGCTATTTGGGAGGCAGAGATTGGGAGGATCATGGTTTGAGGCCAGCCCAGGCAAAAAGTAAGACTCCATGTCAACAATTAAGGCAGGCATGGTATATTTCTGCAATGCCAGCTAAACAAGAGGCATAGGTAAATGGAATGCAATCTGAGATCAGTTCCCAAGCAAAAATGTGAGACCCTATTTGAAACAAGTAAGCAAAAAAGCACAGAAAGAAAAAAAAAAAAAGAAAGTAAAAAGGCTGACGTATGCCTGAAGTACTGAGATCAAACCCCAGTACCAAAAGGGGGAAAATAAGAGAACATAAATTAATTCAAAAATGAGAAAATACTGTCAGGCACCAGCAGTTCATACTTGTAATCCTAGTTACTTGGGAGACTGAGATCAGGAGGATCAGGGCTTGAGACCAGCCTGGGCAAATAATTTTCAAGACCCTGTCTCCAAAATATAACTGGAACAAGACTGGACTAGAGGTATGGCTCAAGCTGTAGAGTATCTGCTTTGCAAGTGCAAAGTTCTGAGTTCAAACCCCAGTCCCACTGAAATAAAAAGAGGAAGTACTGATTCTTATCAAAATAATAATAAAAAAAAACTTCTGATAAATCTGAACAAATAAAGAAACTGAAAAAAGAATAATGCCCTCAACTCCCATTTAAAGAAAAGGAGATAATGGTTCAGGGTCTCAAAAGATTTATTGGTGAATGTTCTTGAACTTGTCACGAACTAGATAACTCTTTGGTAAATCCATAGGATGCTTATCATTGTTTCCCAGCTACACACACATTAGGCACTCAGCAAAGATATGGGATGTTAAAGAACAACCTTTCCACAGAAAAGAAAGTATCGTCTCCATGGCAACAGTATTGAATTGTTACAGTTCTCGCATGAGGAGAAAAAGTGCCATAGAGTGCCATCAAACAGGATACAAAAAGACCACCAGACACCACTGGAGAAGAAAGTCAGTAAACCTATTCTCTCATCTCCTGATAGCTTCTTATACCATAGCATCCCAACAGTCTACATCACTAACTAGAACATTGCCCTGACTTGATATAAGGCTAAACCACAAGCTATTATTGCTACAAAATACACTGCTATGCAAGTGAACGCTGCACATAATCAAATGAGAGGAATAACTTAAAAAAGAACTGGATGTTTATTACCTTACTGCTTGACCTGGTTAATGCCCACAAAGGCATCAGCAGCTTAGGGGTACTCTTTGGGCAATATGAGCCAACAACAACATAAAATGAAAGCATTTCAGTGCCACACTCACTGAAGGCAAACCTGTAGAAATCCAGAAGTGCCTTCTTCATCAGCTCCAGAATACAAAAAAAAAAAAAGTTTCATGTTGCTAATTCACTGAAAGAAGCATTTCAATAAATCCACTAACTTAAATTTTAAAAAGGTTTTAAAATACTTAAAGATCATGTCTCTTATTTTTAAAGTGAGAACAAATGAGCTTTTGAAATTCTAACTAATTCAAAAGTAAGAATTAGAGATAATAAAGAAAAGTGAAAAAGTATGTTCAAGTCAGCAATGGTGACATACACTTAATAGTTCTAGCTATTTGGGAGGCTAAGGCAGGAGGATCCCTTGACCCCAAGAATTTGAGACAAGCCTGGGCAACCTAATTAGGGACCTCATTTAAAAAAAAAAAAAAAAGGGTTCAGATGATATGATATAGTACCTAGAAAATCTAAAATATCTAGCATAATACATATTCAGTAGAATGTAACCCTCAGATTCCCCCCTTAACATTTCTGTTTCTGTATACAATGTCCCCTACTGTAGACAGACGTTAATTTTCAATTTTTCTTATTTGAGATAATCAGCAAATAACTGGATCTGAGTTAAAAACAGGGAAGAGGCCAAGTGAAGTAACTTAATTGAAGTCACGTAATTGATAAATAACAAAAAGACAATCTGAATTCTTACAGGGTTAACAAGCCTATGCTCCTTTCACTAGGCAACAGTGCCAGAAGGGATCTCTGGCTTAACAGATATTTACAAAACATCTATTATGCAACATTCATAGGCTTCCAAAAATGAGCAACATGTGTTTTAAGAAAACTTGTCCAATTATTGACTTGAAACAAGGCCTCCTTCCCTTATACATTATATATAAGATATATAGATATTATGTATCTAGAAGTCACATATTCTAACATGCAAAGTATTATTCTCCCTAGGGATAATAAACACCCTTTTAATGCTAGAGTAATTACAGACTTTTTATTGTAGAATGTTATTATTAGAAGAGTACCAACACATTCCACACAGATATCCTTGTCTGTGTTTTTAACATACCCTTGCCAGGCATCAGTGGCTCACGCCTATAATCCTAGCTATTCAGCAGGCAGAGATCAGGAGGATTATGGTTGAAAGCCAGACCAGGCAAATAGTTTGTGAGACCTTATCTCAAAAAACTCCATCACAAAAAGGGGCTGGTGGAGTGGCTCAAGATGTAGGACCTGAGTTCAAACCCCAGGACCGCAAAAAAAACCAAACAAAAAAACCCAATGTCCTTAGTCCCAAACACACATACAAGCATATAGAGACACAATTTAAAAAAAAAAAAAAAGGTGGTGGTGGGGGCAGATCTTACTTCAAAGTCAATTTGTAAAGCAGGTATAGCCCATTTTCAAATACATTCCTTGTAAGTTTCCTACACAAATTTTAATGCAGTAACTTAGAATGTATGGACACTTAAGTTAATTGAGATAGTCTGTTTTACAATTTGGAGAAATGTGGACTTAAAAATTAAACTGAGTTCAGTGGCTTCATGCTGGATGAACATCCATAACCATTAACAGATCTGTAAAGGTTCTGTACCTGATCTCACCCTGCTCAGCATCTCCTATCACAGACAAGATGAAGACCCAGAAATTATACTGGAAAGATCAGAAAAAAAAAAAAACTTCAGAAAAATCACCAATCTTCTCTCTCATTCTCCTGTTTAGCAAAGTAGAACCCATAGGTGGCTATCTGTCATACTGACACAAGGGAGAAGTAAAAAAGCAAGCAGGGCTTTCCAAAATGAGAAAATGCCTTAATCACAGGACCACAAGAGGATATAGCCCACCCTGGAATTAAAGTAAGAAGCAGAGTAAAACAAAATGACTTCATCATCTATTAACTAAGCTATGAGTGATACACACAGGCAGAGATTCTGATCATTTTGTAAGGAAATAATAACCAGGGATATTTAAACTTTAAATATCTTCAGATAAAGTAATTTCATACAAACAGGAAAGAAGCGTTTTTTCCACAACATCAGTAACTTCTGGCCAAACAAAATTAATAGCAAACCATTTTAAGTTGTGGGTGTTTTTTAAATAAATACTTACCACAATCCACTCGGCAATGTTTTCATAGAGCTGTGGACTGAAAATTGCTTTTTTAAGCCTAGCTAGAGGACCATCAGCATCTACTAATCTGCACCTCATGAAAACATCACAGTATCCTCTGAAATCGTTGCAAGGAGATCCAGGTTGCAGAGTTATGGTTCGGCCGTTGAAATGCTTATTCCACTGCACAGACCCTGTACTGGCACAAGTTGATGGGTTCACTGGAAAAGAAGTGCCAAATAGATCTTCACTAGTTCAGCAGGATAACATCATCAATACTTCACCTCAAATATAAACAAATACAATATAAACAAAAGGAAGTCGAGAGTTATTGCCTACAATGCCTTTAAAACCATTCAACCATTTTATATAAATTGCTGCCATAAAACTGGCAATGTTCTGCCTAGTGTATTATTTAAAAACACTGTAGGGACCATAATGCTATGCTGCATTTAAATCTTTCTTAAAAAGATAGATTTAGCTGGAAACTGTCTGTCTGGACTGTACTCAAAGTTTAACATGTAAAACTTAAATGGTTTTTGAAGTAGATTTTATACTCTTATATTTTAAAAGCCTTACTTTTCTTCATACAGCAGACATGGCATAATTCCTTATCATCTTTGCCATCAGAACTAGCACAGGTACACTCTTCCAAGTCATATTTCTCACAGATAGAACCTGCACATTGCTGGAATAAAAGACAAGTTATTTAATCCCTATATGGTCAAGCCTATTGTTCATAGTTATAGGCAGGTATATGCTTCCAAAGTCAAAATAATACAGTGGAAATACAAGTTAAAAATAAACAGAGCCAGTAATCCTATCTACTTGGGAGGTGTAACTCAGGAGGATTGTGGTTCACCGCCAGCCCAGACAAAAATTTCGTGAGCTCCCCATCTCAACCAATGGCTGGGCATGGTGTTGTGTGCTTGTCGTCCCATGTATTCAGTGAAGCACAAATAAGAGAAATGTGATCCAGACCAGCCTGGACATAAAGCAAGACTCTATCTGAAAAATAACAATGCAAAAAGGACTGGGAGAGCAACTCAAGTGGTAAAGCACCTGCTTAGCAAGCGTGAGGTCCTAAGTTCAACACATAGTAAGTACCATCAAAAAAAAAAAAAAAAAAAAAAAACCCAAAAACCAGAGGTGGGGATGTGACTCCATAGTAAAGCACTTGCTAAGCATGCTCAAAGCCGTGGGTTTGATCCCCAGCACTACAAAAAAAAACCCAAAAACAAACCATAGATGAGTATCAGGAAGTGGACCATATAAACACATGTGAAAAAGAGTAGATGCAAGTAAGAGAGTACATCTTTTGAAGCAATGGTGACAACAATAACAAAAAACCTTAACTAAACAAAAGCAGAAAGAGCTTAAAAGAGTCAATTTTTGTTGGTCATTACAGGTCCTCTATAAGCAGGGAAAAATGAAATTTTCTCCATGCAGAACAAAGTGATATTTAGCCAGGAATGCTTTAAAGGCTTCACATTCAGAGAAAATGACCAGAAGAATTCTTGTATTTAGCCTATTGAAATATTAATTTATAAAGCTTTAAAGCAGCACAAAGTCGCATGCCTAGCTGTACAACTATTTCTCCAGGGGTAAACCAAACATGTAGTTGGAAAGATGAAAGACAAATCAGTAGCTCAATGAATGCCACCAAGCACTTGTGTCATATATTCATGGCTTTTTGGGGGATAGGGATATTACCGAAACAGAGACCAAGAGTATTTTTTTTTAAGCCAGGATGGGGTGGTAATGGTGGTGGAGAAACAGGGTCTTACTATATAGTTCAAGCTGGCCTGGAACTTGCTATATAGCTGGGTTGGCCTCGAAGAATTCTCCATCATCCTGCCTCAGCCTCCTGAGTGCTGGATTATAGGCATGCACCATCATGGCTGGCTAGGACTACTTACTTTATGTAGCATTCACTGTCAGTAATTATTCTGAAAAGTAGGTTCTATAAAATGAAATCAAATGCTTACCCCATTAATGCACACTTGTGTATGTCTATTACAATCAGTAAAGTTTGGTTTGGGATCAGATGCAGGGCAGAGAGCTGTGTGGCCATTACATATTCCTTCTTTTGCACAGTCAGAATCATCCCGACACTTCTCAGATTTTGACTTAAACGCACATTGTGCTGTACAACAGGGACCTTGACTTGGGCTGGAAGAAACATTAAGTGATTAAACAGAGTAATTACTAGGTATTTTCTGTATATGTAGACATGGGCCTAATTTTAAATTATAAAACTCATCTTTTAAATGGTATCTTACTTTTATATTCAAATACTGGAATAAGAAGTTACTATATTTGAACATTCCACTAAGTATAGAAAAGTGAGTAAGGATCTAGTCTTTACAGTCAGGACCCTTTATTCAGCATTCTTTATTTGCCTTTTATAAAATACTGTAATAGAAAATGGATTTCATATTAGACAACTTATCAGTGTTTTTTTTATAGCTACATATTATGTTAGCCAACTCATCAGTTTTTCCCATTTTTATGATACTATCAAAGATACATAGATCAAACATTTAAAAAGTACTGGACAAACTATATTCTATTGTTTATAATCTATTACTACTGAATTTGACAAATGAAATAATTGTGTCACAAAAATATGTGTCCCATATTAATGCCTATATATTTAAAGTTAGGATTATAAAAATATGGAAGCTAGTCACATTTTTAAAGTTAGGCACTAATATAAGCACCCTTCTCATGTCTTTTTTAATTTCCACCACACAAATTACAAACAGTCCAAACTGCCAACAGGGTACTTACTAAATACCATTCCAGAAAAATAAATAATGCAACAAGAAGTAAGTTTCAAAACCATATGCATCTTTTAATTTCAGTTTTAAGTTGGTCATAACTGCTTTTAGGTGACTTTGCAGAAATATTAACATATTAAAATTAACAAGGTACCTGCAGTCTTTTCCAGGTTTCAGTTTGCACTTTTTCCCCTCTGGCTGGTTTGCATCAAAGCAGCACTCATCTTTACACTGGTCACTATAGCCACAATCACATTCTTCACCTTGTTCTACCATTCCATTTCCACAGATAGGCTGGCCAGATTCTGAGGAAAATAAGTAAGACAAGGTAAGTATTGAATGCACACATTAAGATTCTCAAACCCTTTAGAGCCTTGTAACAAAGGGAGAAAGGAAACTATGATAAAGTAGAACAAACTAAGATTCTGGAAATCAGAAGATGTAATTTAACAAGGACTCTGCAACTAATCAGCAATGTAACCTCCAGCACATCACTTCCCTTCTGGGGAGCCCCAGTTTCTTAATCTGCATAGTGAGAGAATTTGACTTGATGGTCCCTTCTAAGGTCCGTTATGAAATTGGCAGCTTGCTATTTATTTAGACCATATTACACTGACCTTTATTGAACCACAACTGTATGATTTATATCACACAAATGCAAATTAAGTTAGTGCATCATCAACCAGGAAAAAAAATGGAAACTTGGTTTTGTTATAGAAAATTTGTAAAAGAATAAGACAATGAGCTCCCACATATGGCAACAATTTTTTTCTGTAGTATTTTAAAATAACTCCACCTAACACATTACTGTTCCTATAAATACTTCAGGATTTACTTCTAAAGCATTAGGAATTTTTTCTTTTTTAAACATAACCATAATACTCTTATCATATCTAATAAAAATAGCAAGATGTGTAATATCATCTAATAACCAATTCATATTTAATTTCCTCAACTGTCTCTTTACAATTGGTTAATCCGAATCCAGATTCTCCCAACTCCAACTCTTCCTCACATGGTTGCTTTTGGTTGATGCATCTCCTGAGTAATTATACTTATTCAGCCCTCTTCTAAAGTTCTTTGATATTTTTGTCGAAGAACTTTAAAAATCACAATAGTGAGCAGTATAAAAAAATCCTAAAGAAAGACTAGGAATGCTACTCTTTGTAAGATAATAAAAATCACAGGACTTTATTATCTGCAGGGAATGATAAGAATCTTATGCCTTCATTTTCTAGAAAAGGAAACCAACTTGGACCAGTTTGTGACTCACTAGAGACCATATGAGCATAACAGACTAAGCCCAGGGTTTCCTAGTACTGAAATCTTGTACTCTTCTTTCTATTATACCAAATCCTATGAAAAATAGTCATAATCCAGGCTTCAAATTAAGAACTGACAGAAGGGACACATTTCAAGGGCAGGAGCACCACAGACGGCAGATCTGAATCAAAAATTATCTATCCTTAATCACATCATCTATTAAAGGAAACCTCAGAGGTCACTGAAATTATGTCCCTGTTTCATTTTACACAACGTCTTTATCCTCTAAAATGAGATGCATGGACACGAACATATATACTAAGTAAGTAATAATGACTGAAAAGTTCTGATGATAATTTTATAATCCATGTGACACATAATTTATGAGTAAAGAAAAAATGATAGAAAATTTACACAGTATTTGCCACACATTTTTTATCTCATAGAATCATTACTTCAAATTAGCTATTTACTAACAGTTTAAATACAGAGAAAGGTACTATTTAATGCAAAAACTGTATTAGGTACATATTTAAGGAACTAACTGCTTTCTCATAATATCGACAAATCAATATATATTTTTAAAAAGTCAACTTCAATCAGAAACTTTACTGTGAAAACTCAATTTACAAACTGAGAATCTATAATCAACACAGCATTTCTATATTAAGTAACACAAAAATGACCAATGATAACATCAATGTAATTTCAATCTATTTTTTTTAAATAAAAAAGAAGACTTTAAAGAAAAGAGTCAAAGACTTTATGAAAAGGATGAAAAGACAAGCTATATAACCTGGGAAAAAATGTCTGTAAACTAGTATCTGACAAACGACTAGTACATAGATTATATAAAGAAATCTCAAAACAACAGGAAAAATCAAAAGAAATGGCCAAAAAACATGAACAGGCATCTCATCAAAGATATATGGATGGCAAATAAGCACATGAAAAGATGCTTAAACATCACTGGTCATCAGAGAAATGCAAATTAAAACCATGAAATATGATTCCACTTCTATTGAAATGGATTAAACAAAACATGGTAATTACACCAAATGCTGGTGAAAATGGAGAGATATCAGATCACTCATACACTGTTGGTAAGAATGTACAGCCACCCCAGGAAAAAGTGTGGTAGCTTTGTACAAAACAAGCAGTTGCTATATGGTCTGCTAACTGGATTTTGGGGCTTCTACCCCAAAGAAAGAAAAACTTACATTCACACAAATAAACTTGTGCATGAATATTATAGCTGATTTTTCCTATCAGCCAAACACTGGAAATAGCCCAAGGTCCTTTTTAACAGGTGAATGGTTAAACAGATATATAAATACCAGAGTACTACTTAGTAAAAGGCAGAACAACTAAGGGGCTGGAGGAGTGGCTCAAGTTAGGTCCTGAGTTCAACCCCTAGTACTGCTGACAGACAGACAGACAGACAGACACACATACACATACACAAAAGCAACAACTGATAGAAAGAAGTTAGATGACTTTTCAGAGAATTATGCTGAGTGAAATAAGGCAACCCCAAAAGGTTATATACTGTTTGAGTATATACGTGTAAATGTGTGTGTGTGTGTGTGTGTGTGTGTGTATACACACACACATATATATTCTATATCTATCTACTCTACATATTTTTTTTGGGGGGGAGGTGGTACTGGGGTTTGAACTCAGGGCTTCACACTGGCAAAGCAGGTGCTCTACTGCTTGAACCGCACTTCCAATTCATTCTGTTCTGGTTATTATGGAAATGGGCTCTCACAAAACTTTCTGCCTAGGCTAGCCTCAAACCTTCATCCTCCCAATCTCAGCCTCCCAGGTAGCTAGGGTTATAGGCTTCAGCCACTAATACCCAGCTTATATAACATTTTTGAAGGAACAAAATGTTAGAAATGAAGAGGTTAACAGGATGGGGGAGGGGCAGCAGGAGATAGGAACAGGTTAACAACTGAAGGGCCCTTGTCTTGATGCAGCAGTTCTGAACTTTGGCTGTGGTGATGGGATACATATATCTACATATGCAATAACATATAGAACTAAATGCACACACAGAGACATGAGAACTAGAAAAACTGAAGTACACTGTATGTATCAGTGTCAATTTTATGGCTATAATATTATACTATGTTTGCAAGATATTACCAGTGAAAGAAACTAAGTGAAGGATACAGAGAATCTAACGCTTCTCATAACTGTATGCGAATCTATAATTATCACAGTAAAACTATCAATTAAAAAAAGGCCAAAAAAAAAAAAAAGGCCTGGCTTATCTGGAAAACTTGCTCAATTTTTGTTCAATCCCTTTTTGAATGTTCACCATGAACAAAAGTGACAAGGCCACAGTATTTGCACTTAAGTAACACATCTTGTGAAAACAGGACAAAGCTATAGGAAAAAAAATGACTTTAGGACAAGGTAAAATATTTAGAATACATGAAATAGCACAACAGAGGTGTAACAGATAACTGAAAAACAAAATGTGGTGTATCTACGCAATGGAATGTTATTCACCCCTAACAAGGAATAGAGCTCTGATAAATTCTATAATGTGGGTAAAACTTGAAATTCTTATGCTAATGGAAGTAAGCCAGATACAAAAGAATAAATATTATATGACCCCACCAATATAAGGGGCCTAGAAAGTCTAATTTATCGAGATAGAAAATACATTAAAGGTTACAAAGTGCTAAAGGGAAGAGGAAGCACGAGCTACTTAATAAGGAATTTTGTTGATGAGAATTTGGAAATAGACAATGGTGATAACTGCACAACACTATGAATGTGATTAATATCCTGAATTGTACACTTAAGGTTGTTTAAAATGTCAAATATTGTGTTACATATGTTTTACTATAATAAGGAAAAGAAAAAATTTCACAGCAGTTTTTTTTTGGGGGGGGAGGGGTACTGGGGTTTGAACTCAGGACCTCACGTGTGCTAGGCAGGTGCTCTACCACTTAAGCCACTCCACAAGCCTCTCATAACAGCTTGACTGATATTAGCCCAAGGCTAAATAACATAGGTGTCCATCAACAGCTGGGAAACATTCATACAATACAATACATATGCATCAAGAATAAAATAGTGTGATAAATCTCAGAATATCATGTTGAGTTAAAAGCAGTCTTTCACAAGGGAAGGAAACCAAAAACTTGAATGAGACTGATGTGCTCACTATACAGGAATGCATATAGAAATTGTAAACTGGCCGGGGCCACCACGGGAAGTGGACTAGGGAGGAGAGAAGAGGACTGGAAGAGGCAAAGCAACTGGAGCTGTGATACAAATATGCATGGAACAACACAAGGAAACTCCCTGTGTAGCTATCTTTATCTCAAACTAGCAAAACAACGTGTTTCTCATTTTATCTTTCATGGTTTTTCTTCTACAAAATTGGAGAACAGGAGGGCAGAACAGGTTCTGGGGGAGGGTTGACCTGTGGGAGGGGAGAGGTGGCAGGGAAAGGGGTATAAGGATGAATATGGTCCAAATAATGTATACACATGTGCGTAAATGCAAAAACTGATACCTGTGGAAACTGTTCCAGAAATGGGGGGAGATGAAGGAGAGAGGTGAAGAGGGTGAATTCAAGTATGATATATTTGATACATTGCAAGAACTTTTGTAAATGCCACAATGTACCCCCACCCAGCACAACAATTAAAAAAATAAAATAAAATGAAAGCAGTCTTCCAGAAAAGGGTATACAATGCATTAATGCCACTCATACAAAATTCTAAAACAGACAAATGTAATCTATGGTGAAAAAAAACAAACAGTAGTTGTGTCTGGGAGTGCTGAGGATGGAGACTGACTGGGAAGGGGATTAAAAGAACTTTCTGATAGTTGCTTAGTTTACACAGGTAAATGCATTTACCAAAATTCACCAATAAGGCCCTTAAAATCTTGTGCTTTTCACTTATGAACAAACAAAAAAGAACTACAAACAATACTAAACTCCAGTTAGTGACATACAGACCAAAGTGTTTAGGGTAAAGCACTTTGACATCTGCAGCTTACTTTAAATTGCAACAACAAATTCCAGATTGAGGGATGGGTAGATTAGCAAACCAGTGTTAAACATAGCCAAGTGTTAACAATCCACAACCCTATATGTGGATATAGGGATGCACACTGCATATTTCTTTCATAGTTTCTGAATGTTTGAAGACATTTATAATACGATGGGAACATATACATACCAACAAAACAGTTGTTTCTCTTCTTCTCAAGAACTTGGCTTATATTTCTAATACTACAGAGTGAGAATTTATTGTTGTTAAGTTTGTCCCCAGATGTTGCTCTTGCATACATGATGTAATTGCCATTTTCTTTCTGTCCTAAATTCTTCGATTCTCCTGGTGTACACTCTGTTCCAGAGTCATGCTGCCAAATAGAATATAAAGTTATAGAAACTGTGAGGAAAAGAAGGTTTGCAGGTCATTGAAGTTAATTTTCTCAGAACAATGGAAGTTGTGGACTTTCCTTTAGAAAGGATCTTACAGTTGTTTTAGACTGTGAGTAGGAAAACACTTTAGGGACCACTGTCATAGAAGAGAAGGAAAATCATGATGGTCTAGCCATAATGTATAACTTTGGAAGTAGGGAGTAGAATTGAAGACATACTGCCATAAAAACTTATTATAAATAAGCTTGCCTACTTTTAAAACTAGTAACAGATTAACTCTAGTCTTTAAAATAATGATGAATTATATATTAAGACTAGTTCAAAGTTAGAGGTGGGAAAAGAAGAAGAAGGAAACAAAAGAAATGGGCACAGGGCTAAGCAGATACAGAATAGGAACTTAAGGTAGCCAATTTATTAACCAGTACATAACAAAGACAAGTAAAAATGTTGACTTTTTTTGTGATACTGGGATGTGAACTCAGGGTTTTGCACTTGCTAGGCAGGTGCTCTACCACGTGAGCCATGCCCCCAGCACACTATGGTCTACTTTAAAATGAAATTATGAAAGGTCAAGACATAACTCAAACTACTGCCTTGCAGAATGAATAGGAGACTGAGTTCTGTGTCTGACTACAGCACTGAGGGAGTTTCTAGTTTTGGTAACATTTATGTAAGTATTAGGTGCACACAGAAAAGCACCAAAGCATAGCTCCCTGAACTTTCTCAAAGTACACACAATATGTGACCAGCAGTGAGATGGAGCAACAGAACACTACCAGATCCCAGCAGTCACTGCCCTCGGGGCATGTGCAGTACATGCAAACTACACAATGCTCCTCAAATAATTCAGAACACCTCAGAAGGAGCCAAAACACCAGCAAGTACAATAACTATTCCATTTAATTAAAATCTTTTTGAATGGCCAACAATACCGCTCTCTAGAAAGAAACAGAATGGCCATGGGAATCCATTTAAGACACTTTCATTTTGTACTCCCCCATCTGAGGCAACTCTGAAGTATAGCATCTGCTAGCATGTTTACTCTTCCTAACACCTCCTGCTCTTCTCCTGAGCCTGGACTCGGCAGCTAACAACTCTTCATTGTCTTTAGCATCATCTTGCTCCATGTTTTCATTGTACAGAACTCAATTTGGTTTCTGAAAAGGTCTGGCACAAGCTCTATTCTCACTATTAGAATTTTAGAAATGGAAAAGTCCTGATGCTATTTAACTCTTGGTGTCATCATCAAATATCTTGCCACTTTTCAAATCAATAAATGTTACCGAGTACTCAACTATAACTGTGTATCCACTGAAATATATAAAAATATAAAGAAGCTGGACATGATGGCTCATGCCTATAATCCCAGCTGCTCAGGAGGTGGAGAATGGGAGAATCATGATTCATGCATGGCCAGCCAAAGCAGTCAGTGAGACCCCATCTCAACCAATAAGCCAGGTGTGTTGGTGCATGCCTGTCATCCCAGCTACAAGAGAGACATTGGTAGGACTGCAATCCAAGGCTGGCCCAGGCAAAAATACTTAGACCCTATCTGAAAAATAAATGAAGCAAAAAGGGGCTGAGGTATAGCTCAAGTGGTAGAGGGCTTGCCTAACAAGTACCAGGTTCTGAGTTCAATCAACAGTGCAATTGATAGATAGACAGATAAAAACATGGTTTAAAATAAAGTAAGCATTGTCCCAAGCCCTCATGGGATCTACATTCTTTTAAAAACCAACCGCAAACTCTGACCTATCTGCCCAGTCCAATTTATTCAAGGATATTATAATGGGTCATCACTAACAACTATGGGAGGGGAACAGGTGTAAACAGGCTGTCTTCAGATAAAGGAATAAAATGAGCACATAAATGAGCAAAACATAAAGAACAAAAAGAATGTTTTGACTGAACACCCAGAAGTACTGCAAGAGTTTAAATCAAGAGTAAAATTCACAAGGAAATGGCAATCTTAGTTTGATAAAAAAACAGAAAAACTATTTTCTGTCTATGAAAACAATACAAGCCAGGCATAGAATCGCACATCTGTAATCCTGGCATTCAGATGGATTGAGAATCTCAGGTCAGGCTGGGCTGTACAATAGGAGACTCTGTCTTTAAAAAAAAAAAGGAAAAGAAAACTGGATAAATTCAGTTATAATTACCACACATAACAACCAACCACTATTAATGTTCTGTTCTATTTCATATCTGACTTGCATTTGGCAATAACATTTTAATATAAAATTTGGACTCTATCATGCACACAGTAATATTCATGTTTTCTTCAGCTTGAGAGTGTAGGATAATCACTGAAAAGTTTAATTTTTAAATGACTGCAGAGCATTCCATAGTATTTCTGTACTATAGAAAATTATACTGTTTTAAAATTTTTGCGCCAGGCACCAGTGGCTCATGCCTGTAACCCTAGCTACTTGGGAGGCTGAGATCAGGAGGATCATAATTTGAAGCCAGCCTGGAAAATAGCTCTCAAGACCCAACCTCCAAAATAACAAGAGCAAAATGGACTGGAGGTGTGGCTCAAAGGGTAGAGCACCTGCTTTGCAAGTGTGAAGCCCTGAGTTCAAACCCTAGTCTTATCAACATCCCCCCAAAGAAAACCCCCAAAATTTGCTATTATAGTCAGGCACAGTAGATTACATCTGTAATTCCAGCTACTTGAAATGTGGAGACAGGAAGGATCACAGTTCTAGGCCAGCCTGGCCAAAAAAGTTAGTGAGACATATCTCAAATAACTACCTGGGCATGGTGGCATGTAACTATAATGACAGCAACAGAGGAGGTATAGATACAAGGATCATGGTTTGAGGCTGACCCAGGCAGAAAGTGTGATACCCTATCTGAAAAATAACTAAAAGCAAAAATGGCTAGGGGGTGTGGCTCAAGTGGTAGGTAGAACACCTGCCTCGCAAGTGTGAAGCACTGAGTTCAAACCCCAGTACCGCAAAAAGCAATTACAACAACGAACCTCAGTAACACCAAAAAATAAAACTAAATTTTTTGCTGTAAGTACAATGAATATATTTTATAATCATTTTTAAACAAACCTAACTCTTTAATAATTATTTATTTCTTTTAGTTGGATTTCCAGAGGTAAAGTTATTGAGTCAAGAACACAGATCAAGATTTCAAAGGGAGATCCCAGCACTAGGGAGACTGAGGCAACAAGATCACAAGTTCAAGGCCAGCCAGGGCTACAGAGTGAGGAAGATTTCAAAGGCACAGATAAGGGGCGGGCAGAGCAACTGACCTAACAAATTAAAGTTATAAAGGACTGTGATTTAATGTGACAGGCAAGAGGAGATGACATAAGAAATATGCTTGGACTCAGATTGTGAGAAATCCTAATACTCTGTTAAGGAAGTATGGGCAGTATCAGCAGGTAGTAGACATAAAATTAAACAGAAGTGGCCTGGTTGGAACTATATTTACACAAAGATTACTCTCATATTGAGAGTCAGGAAGTTGTCTCATTTATGATCACAACTCCCACAACAAAGCTTACAAAGCAGTTTACAACAGGTGTACACTTAGTGTTTGGGACAGAATAAATCTAAAGACAATGTGAACCACTGGGAGAAAGTAAAACTAACATAGCACAGACACGTAGCAGGAGGGATAGAGAGAGGTTTCAGACAAAGATGTCCAGGGAGACATGTTCAGAAATTTATGGTTCTGGCTGATATTACCACAAATTACTCAATAAATATTTGTTAAACATCTACTGCATATGTAAATGGTAGAATTAACAACATGAATAGAAGAATAGAGTGTAATAAAGCATAGCAAAGTCATTAAAAGTAGTCTGGTATGAAAGAAAAAGATGGCAAAGTAAGCAAAGAATGGAAATCAATTTATTCATTAAACAAGAAGCAATACATAATACAAAGTTAATGTACTAAAAACAGGTCACTGGAAGTCAATTAAGGAAAAGATAAGATGGTCTAGACTCCCTACTCCAAATGTGGTCCTCAGAAATCTGTATTCTGAGATTCTTGGAACCTGTATTCTTGAGATTCTTGGTATCTATTCTGAAATCCTCAGGCAACTTCTATGCACATTAAAATATGAGAGGCTCTCAACTAGAAGACAGAAGAGGGGCTGAGAAGGGTGCACAATTCCCTGGGAAGGCCTAGAGCCAAGGGAATGGGGTGGGGGGAAAGAAGGGCAGACACTTATCTGTACATGGGAAAAGTTAGTTCTGCTCATCCTTAATATCTCAAGTACCCTTTTGATGATAATCTCTCAATTCAGTGAGGTGGCACTTAAATTATTTGTTTACTTTGGCACTGGAGATTGAACCCAGTGTCTCATGCATGCTGAGTCTGCACTCTACCACTGACATACACACCTACAAATTATTTTTTAAATAAAAATTTCCATTTTTACAAGTGGTAAGATTCAAGTAAAAAGAATTTAGATATAGTTTTCAAGTAACAATTTCCCCAACATGCTATTTTAATAAGCTCTGCCAAAATCACAGAGACAGAAGATCTTTCAGTACTTCCTATTTCTGTGTTGCAATGATCATTAGGTCACTTAAAAATCAATATAACAGACCAGGCATTAGATGATACCAAAGACTGCTAATAGTTTTTGTTAAGTGTAATAATTACATGTGGTTACATAAGCAGTTCTTTCTGCACTACCTAAGGACAATTTGCTTTAAACATGTTAGCAATGGGAAAAAAAAAGAATTCAAAAGGGCAGAAAAGGCAAAATTCTGATGAATCTATTCCAACTCAGGGTCAGCAAACTGTAGCCCACAGGCTGTTATTACAAGGCCTGTGCTAAGGGTTTCTCCATATTCACAGGATTGAAAACACAAGGCAGAACATGCAACAAACACCAAATGTCCCGAAAGCCTCATTTTCTTGGCAAGCCCTTTATAGAAAGTTTGTTGTCTGTGTTCTGGGTGATGAGCATGTGAGCAGTTTGTTGTGGTGTGCGTCAGAAATTTATCATAATAAAGACTTTAAAATATCAATCTCTTTCCACAATAGATCACAATAAGGCTTTAATAGAAAGAAAGCAAGAAGGCATTGCACAATTTGCTAAAGGTTCTAAATGTGCTTTAAGCAATGAAAAGGGATTCTCACTCAAAACATACCTGAGTATGTTTTGTACTATGCACTAGACACCATTCTAGGGCCATCAGATACAGATAGATATTATTTTGTCTGAATAAGACAAAATTCTTTGCTTTCAAAGAATTCTGCATTTTAAAAAATTTTAATCAAAATTATTCTTTCTTTTCAGTATAGTCATAGTCAAATACATCACTGTATTCTGACATGAAAACTAAACAATCATATGTACATTTGTTTTTGCTATCAAAAATCACTCAACATAAAAGTCAAGCTAATAACTTTTGGACAATGTAATAATTATGCAGTACTTACTGGAGATCCGAAGTTATGTCCAACTTCATGAGCAAAAGTAATGTGGGAGACTTTGGGAGGCACGTGGGACCCATAGTTCTGAACAGTGATAATCCCCGTGTTCAAGGACTTCTTCTTCCCATCTGAATAGAGTTTACTTTTCTCACATATTCCTCCAGAGCTTCCTAATTCAGAACAACAATTAAGTTACTTATTCAAAAAACAGGTAAATGTGAAATTAAACAGCTATATTAAAATATTTAATGTTTTCATTAAATACAATTGGTACCCAATGTGTCAAATACTCATTTTATTTCAAGTAAAATTTTAAGACCAAGCATAATGAAACTTCTGGGATCACTTAAAAAGCCCTTATGCAAGTTCTTCATCATCAAAATGTCCTCAAATTTTTGCTCTCATTACCTTAGAAAAACAGTATTTACATTGCCTCTAAATTTGAATATATTTATATTTACAATGAGTCAAAGCCTATAGCTTCCCATCTTTTAAAACAAAAATGTATGATTCAGGTTAACTGAAAGTAACACAATAGTCTCAAGTAGATTCTGAGACAGTCATATAATAACAGTGACGCACAATAAGTATGTGATTCACTGTCCTAGGATGCAACATAAACTCTATTTGTAAAATAATTAGGTAAAGTGGGTTTAAGAAGAAAAAAAGGAGAGCCAAGAGTGGTGGATTCCAGATGTGGGGTTCACGTCTGTAATCACAATCACTCAGGAGGCAGAGATGAGGAGAATGGTAGTTCTAGGTCAGCCCACGCTAAAAGTTAAGATAACCCCATCTCAACAAACAAGCCTGACATGGTGGCTTATAGCTATAATGTTAGCTCCTCAGGAGGCAGAGATTGGGAGGAGGCAATTTAAGGCCAACCCAGGCAAAAAGTATGAGACTCTAGCTGAAAAATACCTAGAGCAAAGGGGCTAGGGGGCTTGGCTCAAATGGTAGGGAACTTGCCACGTGCAATTCCTGAATTCAAACCCCAGTACTACAAAAAAAAAAGAAGAGGAGAAGGAAGAAAAGACAGGAGAGGATAAGGAGGAGGAGGAAATGGGAAAAAAGAAGGAGAAAGATGAGAACAGAGAGAGAGAGCAAATGTGGAAAAATATTAACTGATTAATCAGGAGTTTACTGTATTACTCTTACAACTCTAGCAAGTTTTTAACTTTATTAAAAATTCAATTTTATTTTCCAATGTGTCCCAAATTTTGTGTCTAACGTGTTTCAAATTTTAAAAGAAAAAATATACTTCTTTGAAACATATCAAATCATTTTGTAGTCTGTTCACTAATAAGAACTTTAAAGTTCAGTATCAAAATGACTGTGCTTTCACATCAAAGGCAATAAGAAATTAGAAAAATAACAGGGAAGATCAGAAACCAGCTGATCAATCTATGTGATTATATTCATTGCTCTAAAGATGTAACTTTTTGGAATTTGTTTTATTTTCTTTTTGAAACAGGGTCTCTCTAAGTAACCATAGGTTGGCCCCAAACTGACCATCCTTCTGCCTCAGCCTCCCTAGTACTGGTAGGCTTGTACCCACTATACTTTCTTTTAATTCACTTTCTTGAAAGATCTTTTACATTCACATTTAAAAGCTGAAGATGTAGATCAGTGGTAGGGTGCATGCCTAGGATGCTCAAGTCCCTGGGTTTGATCCCAGCACCTCAAATGAACACACATAGATACATAGGTTTCTCTGTTGGTACTTTAAAAGATATAATCAAACTGATTAAGGTACCCTACCTCATCAAATTATTTCAAATTAGCTTTCTACACACAAAATTACAACCATATTACTAGACCACTTTAAAAGTCTAGTATTTTAAATCCCCGCTAAAGCCTTTAATAGAAAGTAATCCAAAAAAGAACTATACGAATGATACACTAGTACAACACAACTGTTGCCTTGTTCCTATCAAGTATATGAACATATATGACAGCAAATAAAGATGAATTATTGTCATGACTTCAAAGATGACATGAAAATGTGCTTCACAGAAAAGGAAACTGAAAGACTGAGTCAGGTGCGGATTTAACTCAGCAAGGGCTTGCAAACCTTTAAGATGTTCCGAATTTACTACCTTTTCAAGGAAAATGAAAGACTGAGTCAGGTGCGGATTTAACCCAGCAAGGGCTTGCAAACCTTTATGATGTTCCAAATTTACTACCTTTTCTACAAAAAAACTGAATAGAAAGAAAATAGCACATAACTTACAAATATTTAACAAAGTTTTTAAACTGTTGTTTTTCTACATTTAGAGGTAAATACTAAGGACTATGTCATTCTAGGAACTAGGAAATATAAATATATTAATAAGAACTCTGTATGCAATAACTGTGTAGTTCTAAACAAATAGTAAATTAGTATCATGCCTTAGTGAACATATGTCATACACAAAACAGATCAAAGCAATAACTATCAAATTTGAATGAAGCTTAGAAGACTTTATAATGCAAATCTTCAAATATTTTTTCCTTTTTTTAATGAAGTTTATTTTATTTTGAATTATCATACATTAATAATATAAGGAGATTTCATTGTAATAATCCCACATATTGTATCCTGAACAAGTTCATCCCCTCCCAAGTTTTTCTAAAGTAAACAGGAATAGTTTTAAAAACTCATAATAAACACTTTTGTGTATTTTTAAGGTCTAGCTAATTTAAGGGAAGATCATATATAAATTTGAGTGTACACTTCTGAATAGTCTTTGTAATTTACATCTTCTTTAACCTCTTAAAAAACTGTTTAGTCTTAATGAGTATTGCTTGTATTAAACTTTATATATTTATCACAGACTAACAGCATACGTTAGAGTAACTCAAATTATACAGTAAAAAATAAAGCTGTGTCTTATTTTATAAATTATAATTAGAATAATGAAAGCAGTTTTGGTATGCCAGAAACTCATTTAGTGATGAGACATTATACCAAGTTAAGTAAAAGCTCAAGCTCAGAAATTGCTTTTTATTATAAATTTTTTATTATAAATTACTACAGAGTCATCACTAAAAAATACAAATTGTGAATAAAAAGGAGAAGAGTAAAATGTTTTTAATTCAAAGCAAAAGCAATTACTAAACCGGGCAAATCAAGACAACATTCGTTCAGTTAACTGGTAACATTAAGTTGGATAATGTAGCAGAATGTACTTTAACAAGTCACAGAAATGGCCTCTCAAAAGATATGTTGGGTTCAGCAAATGAAACAGAACAAAGGAGCCACTTAACTTGAATTTACTCTGTTAAAGAGTTGTTGTTTTAGCCTAAACAAATGACAGCAAGTCACCTGCTTAAACACTGAACTCACAAAAAGAAAATGTTCTAGTAATCTTTCTAGCTTTATACTTAAGACTAACTTTGGAACCAGGCTCCTCTTTGTTAGCTCTACTGCAGGCCCTAAATAATTTTAAATGGAAACCTCCAAATCAGCTCAGTTCATTATTTCTACTTATTATGAAGCTAAGTAGGAGATACTGCTTTCTTGATTAAAGAAACCTAAAGAAGTACTCAACTACACGATCGTATAAGAAATTTAGGGGGCTGGAAGCATGGCTCAAGTGGTAAAGCACCTGCCTATCAAGCACAAGGCCCTGAGTTCAAATCCCAGCACCACGCTCCACCCCCTCAAAAAAAGAAGTACTACTGGTGATACAGATCAGTGGTAGAGTGCTTGCCTAGCATGCAGAAGGCACTGGAAAAAGGAGGAAGAGGAAGAAAGGTGGAGAGAGGAGGGAGGAGGGAGGAGGGAGGTAGGAAGAGGAGGAAGAAGAAGAAGAAGGAAGAAGAAAGAGGAATAGAGACTATTGTGAAGTAAAAGACTCAAAGACAAAAAATGTTTCAACCCTCATTATTTTTCCTAGCTCAACTGGATCAATGAAGAGGACCATAGCTCTAAATCTGAGTAACTATTACATGAGAATTAACATAACAATAACACAACAAAATCCTTTCTGCCACCATATTTTTAAATAATAAAATATCTACAGAATTAAATGAATTCTAAGCTAAATTATAAAAATAGAATAAGGATGAACAAAGATACATTAAGACAAATAAAAATGAAAGATTAGGAAACAGTAACATTACAAACTGAGTAAATCAGCTATGAAGGCCTATCTAAAAATGGTAACAGCTGGGCATGGTGGTATATACCTGTAAGCCCAGCATTACAAATTCGAGGCGAGCCTCAGATACATAGCAAGTTCAAGGTCAGCCTGGGCTACACAGCGAGGCCCTCAAAAAGAAAAGAATAAGACAACAGCAAGCTTTACTAAGATTTACAGGCCGAAACACAGAGTCTTAAAAGAATGATAAAGACAGAAGAAATTACAATGTAAATTAAACAATTTGAAGCAAAATGGTTTAGCTGAATTCACACAGAACAGATAAGAACTCAGTCTCCTAGTTCTTATCCAACGATTTTCTCATTATGCCATAACAATTACCCAAAGTGATATTAGACGATCACAACATAGTAATACTGCAAAATTTCTCTCTCTTAAGGGAGAAGAAATGGATTCCAGCAATATGGAATCTCTACTAAGAAACTGGAAACATTTCAATTTCTTATTAGAAACATCTCAGAAAGAGAAGGCTAGGATGTTATAGTATATTATACTTAGTAAAATAACTACTGAATCTGGAGTCAAAAGGTCCAAAACTCAGATTCTGTCTATCTCTAGCCATGTAGGATTGTCACAGGGTTTTTGAACTCAAGTTTCCTCATCTACAGAATAGAGGTAATAATACCTACACCTCATAAAGGCACTAAAATAATCAAGAAGACTATATATGTAACGTTTATGTTTAAAAAAAAGGAGTCAAATATAAAACTAGTTCAGCTAGTGTAAAAAAAAAAAAAAAGTCATGTTTTCCGTTTTGACTATTCAGTCGCCTACCTGCTCATAGCAGGAGAAGTCCTGTCTTCAGCCTTACAAAGAACCTATCACAATGCAAACTGCAGAAGGAAGCTGTCAGCATTATTTCAAGGCAGGCAGCTTATAGTAGGATGAGATAGGCCAAAGGAACAAAGATTCCTTCTTCTGCAATTTTGACCCTCATTTTCTGTCCCTGCCTAGCCCTCAATAGCTCTTACATAAAGCCTTCTCAGTTAGGGGGTTTAACAGAGTAAAGTTAGAGGGCATATGACACCTGGAATAAGGGAAAAGATCATAACACAGAACAGAAGGGAGGAAAAATGGGGACAGAGGTTGATTTTTAAAAAAAGGTAATTTTTTTTTTCATTTTGACTGTTCAATCTCTTATTTTTGCTCAAGAAATGTTCTCCTTACAAAGATCCTAATAACAAAAATACATGTAACATTTCCTATCATTCTTAATCCATAATTCTGCCTACGGTCACTTTAAAAATTTGGAAGACCCGGTATCACAAGCAACTAGATATAAATACTAAGGATCCCCAAAATCTATAGTCCAATCTAATCATAAGAAAAACGTCAAGCTGGCACTTGGGACTCATGTCTGTAATCCTAGCTACTTGGGAGGCTGAGACTGGGAGGACTACAGTTTGAGGTCAGTCCAGGCAAATAAAAGTTTGCAAGACCTCATCTCACCCAACAGCTGGACACGGTGGTGCATGTCTGTCATTCCAACCTGAGATCAGGAGGATCACAATTTCAGGCCAACACAGATGGATCTGGGCAAAAAAAGTTTGCAAGACCCCATCTCAATGGAAAAAGCTGGGTGTGGTGGTGCATGCATGTCATCCCCAGCCATGAGTAAAATGGGAGTATTGTGGTCCAGAGCAGCTTGGGCAAAAGCTGAGACCCTATCTCTAAAATAACCAGAGCAAAAAAGGCTAGAGGTACAGCTTGGTCTAAAGATATGGAGAAATTTGACCAAGCTCCTGTGGGACCATCACATTCTTTTTTCTTTCTTTCTTCTCTTGTGGAAGTAGGATCTTGCTATGCAGCCCAGACTGGCCTTTAACTCACAGTCCTGCCTCAGCCTCACTCCCCTACACCCAGGTCTGGGATTCAAGATGTAAACCACCATGTCCAACCTTATATCACATTCTTAAAGACCAAGCGTCTATAGTTGAAAACGCAAAATAATAGGCAGCACTTTTTTGTTTGAATTATCTCCTCACATGCTCTAGAGGCATTTTGTGAGCAAGCTTTAGAGACAAAAATATTAATGGGGTGATTCTTAAACTTTAGTATGCATCAGAATCAGCTGGAGGGCTTGCTGAAACAAAGACTATAGGGCCCCACATCTAGATTTAACAGACCATACATAATGATGCTCATTCTGTTCAGTAGACCATACCATAAGAAACAATTCTTTGAGACTTGAGAACCACTACATTAATAGAAAATACACAAAGAAAAAAACCCAAATGAATCCTGGAGTTTTTATAATACTAATGAATAGAAAAATGGGATCATAATCTTTGTGAGAAAATTATCCAACTATTTGAGAGGAAAAGAGATTTCATAGTGTAAAACTTGTAAAACATGAAATATTATGGGAAGAAGTGAGCTGAACAACCTCTTAACAACACAGGTAACATAAAAACAATACAAATTATAACAGAAAAATATCAAAAAAAATTGACTGTACTATCCATGACATAAATTTACACTTTTATGACATCATGAATTGAATACATGTTAGTACAACAATATGGAAAAAAGAAGGTTTGAATATTATTGGGCCTGGTGTGTGGCTCAACCTGCTTAGCAAGCATGAGGCGTGAGATCAAAACCCAGTACCACAAAAGAAAGAAGAGAAAGAAAAGGGGGAGGGGAGAGAGAGAGATGGAGATAGAAACAGAAAGGGAGAAAGAGAAAGAAAGGAAGAGAGGGAGGGAGGAAGGGAGGGTGGGAGGGAAGGAGGGAAGGAAATTACAATAAGGATATTTATTGTTGGCTTTAAAAAAAGAGCAAGAAATAGAAAAGAAAATATGGTACATTACTTATGTTCTTAAAATTGCTTAACAAATCCAAGAATAAACTAATAAGAATGAGAAAAGAAAAACCATAAACTAGATAAAGCAAAAGTCAACCTTCTCAACGTCAGTGGCTTTCAGGGCTAAGATAGGGTGATGCTAGTGGAGCTATGTGTGCGAGTGAATCTCCTGCCCATATCTCTTTCCAGGTAGGACTTCCCCTCACTAAAATAAAGACTAGAAGTAAACCAATAATAAACACATCTTTTCTCTTCTTCCTATATGCTGCTTCTGATCAGTTTCTCTGTTCTTTATCTCAGTACAGACCAGAAAACAAGAATACAGTTTTTTTTCCTCTTTGACAAAGGAAAAGCATAAATTTCCCCTTCTGACTTTTAGATCCTATTTTGAGAGAGAAATTTTTTTTTAATATTGTTTAACTTTTGTGGGGAAAAAAAATGTATCTTTCCCTTTTAGTTTCAGAAGTACTATTTTTTCCCATAAAATTATTTCAGCTACTGACTTGAATATATCAAATGTTAGGATAGTTCCCATATTTCTTCTTTTTTTTTTTTTGGAGGAAGTAGGTCTTGAACTCAGTGTCTCATGTTTGCTAGGAAGACGTTTGAACACTTGAGCCACTCTGCCAGCTTTGTGTCTTGGGTATTTTCAAGATAGGTTAATTTGCCTGGGGTGACCTTGAACTGCAATCCTCCTGATCTCTGCCTCCTGAGTAGTTAGGATTTTAGGTATGAGTCACCAGGTCCAGTTTGTTTCTCTTTTTTTAGACAGAGTCTCACTATGAAGCCCAGATTGGCCTCAAACACAAGATACTCCTGCCTCAGACTCCTGAGTCCTGAGATTACAGGTGTGTACAACCACAATAGTTCATTACTCATTTCAAAATAAAAAACTGCTTCATCTATTTTGCCATTTACATTATGCTTATGAATCCTGCCTAACTCAAGCAGTGTAAATTAAGATACTGCACAGTCATTGATTTTTCCTCTACTTTGTAAAATTCAATCTTCTGTGAAAACTACTTTTTGTTTCAAGTATTAAGTTAAGACAAAGTTAGATAAACTACCTGAAGGCGCTCCAACCCAGGCCAGACCAAGAACACCATCATCGAAATCTCGGTCTGTGAACACATAGGCCAAACAGTAGTCATCATGGTTCTGCTCAGAATTCAATTCCAAAAACTTCTCCACACCAATGTTTGGGAAACGGAAAGGATTTGTAGGGTCCTTTTCATCAGCAGTTGTATTGATCTAAAATCCAAAACAATAAATTCAATGAGCAATTATTGTTAGCAGAACTTTAATGTAATCTCTGCTCACCTCCGCCTACACTGGCCTGGATAATGGAAAGCAGGCCTTAGTTAAAGTTCCTAGAGACTATTCCCACTGTGCATATACTTGAGCTGATCACAGAGGCCAAGAAACAAAGGAAGGAAGGAAAGAAAGACATGCAGTGTAGGGGAATCAAAATTGAAGTTGTTAAATTTCTGAGCGGTTATTTACCAACGGCTGAACATACAAGATTTGGAAAGAAAAAATAATTTTGCTTTCAAAAACTCTAATAAAGGAAGTACGCTTTCTCAAATTCAATCTTCTGAGCAAACCTGTTAGTGCTAATCTCTTATATATGGTGCCAAACATAATGACACAAAACCCCATACTTTAGCTAATTACAAGAACATAAAACCCAAGACTGTCAGTTCAGCAGATAAATGATTTTCCTGGTTCTCTCAGCTTACAGTCACATGAGTCAAGCCCAACTAACTGCAAGTTCCAACTGAATGTGGGCAAGAATTTTGAATTCTTTCTACTTTCAAGTCATTTCTCTTACTATTTTGAGGTTAAGTTCCTACAGATCCTGTCATTGACACTTAGCTACTACTCTCCTGGTACAGGTTTCTCTGAAGAATAATCTATTCTAATGACAAAGTTGTACTAAAAAAAGCTTTCATTTATCAACCCCTGTCTCCTTCCATAGACCCTGTCTAGCCTCTGAAGTCTCAAGAATAGTTTGCCTTTCTCCAGGTAAGCCAGGGAATTACATACAAACTAGATAGATATTTTTTAAAGATACCTATGAAAAGTAAACATTTTTCTAAAAGGCAAACCTCAGTTCATTTGAAAATGTTGGTAGTAAGGGGATGATGACTGTTACAGTAAGAACTACAGGTCTTTTCATGATCCATGCCCTCTACTAAAACTAGGAGGCTCATAAGCAAAATGGTAAAAATACCACTGAGGGCAATCACCAAGGGCAGACTTCAGAACATCTGGATTATCTTATTAACAATAAACTAAAACACTTAGTTATAGTCATTTAGTATAAAAAGACTCAAAAACAAGCAACTACAGAGATAAGGCAAGATGGCAGATAGCCAACAGACCCCAGAACTCTGAGCTCTCACAAGTCTGAAAGAAAAGTTCATATACCAAGGGTCAGAAATCCAGCTTCTCCATTAAGTAAGATACTACCAATACCTAGGTAAACTGAACTAATGTACAGCTACTAACCCTTAAATTAGTTTTTTATAGAACAAAACAGCTGCAGAAGCCTTGGTACTGTGGCTGCTGGCTGTCACACCAGTCCTTCAGACAGCAGTTTCTTCCAACTTTTTTTTGTTTTTCCTTTTTCTAAAACAGAGAACCAAAGAGTGAGTTCTGAAAGTACCTCGGTTGTCCTGGACCCACCAAAATTTGTAGACATAGAACCTCTGACTGCTACCTGCCTGTGACCAGGGATGCCAACCCGATACCACAGAGAGAAACTAAAACCATTTCAGGTGAACGTGCCGCACCATCTGCTCTGGAGGAAGCCACATAGTCCAGCACAGCTTCCAGGCAGGCTGCACTCCTCTAGGACAAAACTGCTGTTCTAATAAGAGGAGAGAAAATGCCAGCTGTGCCTGGTAGGGGAGGGACTGTTCAACCCTTGACTTTCTTTATAAAATACTGGGGTAATCCAGTCTGTGTGGGGGCAGGGTGGCCCAGCCACACCCTGGAGAAAATAACAACACATTTGACCACCTTGGAGACATTGAAATTAACAGTCCTCCCCAGAGAAGCACATTTGACCAAACAGCTCAACTCCTGCTCCCAGGCTTTGGGGAAGGCTGAAGGGTATGGCCACCACTTACAAATGACCATTGCGGAGGCCTGCTTACTCAAACAAGCTGACCCTGACAGCCACTCCCCACCTCCAGAAGAGCCTCAGCTTACATAGCCTAAGTGGAACCCCTCAAACCTGTCTGGCAGAAAAGGGCACCACTGACTGCCATACCACCCAGCATATCAACGCAGTACCTGGATTAGAAGTCAGAGGTTAAGTGCCCAGTGCACTCACTGAACTCATACGAAACCCACTCCTTTCCATAAAAAGAAAGAAATTTGGACAATAAATTTTTTAATTTTGTTTCCCACTCTGCTGAGATTTTAATTTGCTTAGCCCTCTCTTGTTTTGTATTCTTTTCTCTCCCCTGACTTTTTCCCCTTTTTTTCCTTCCTTCCCTCTCCTCGTCTTCCCTTCTCTCTGTCCTTTTCACCCCACTGTCCCTATCTCCTTCACACTAACCCCTCACCAAGTAAGTAGTCTAGTTTATGAACTTTACACATTACTCCTATCCTTCCTATCCCTCTGCAATCCCAGACAATAGCAACTGTTATTTCCCCAATACCCACTAATTATAGTTAATACTGCCAAGGGTTTTATATATTATCTAAATAACAGGTATGGCATTGGATCTGAATTTGTTATTACTAAGTTATACCTCCAGGTCAGTGAACAGAAATGTTACAACAACCCAGACAGCAACTAAGCTAGCCAAAGCACAGAAATTATGTCAAGGGAAAGATAACAGGTGATGAAAACCCCCAACCAAGTCATCAACAACACATGAGCAAATCTCAAAGTAGAAAGATGGGTGGAAAAGAAGGCAGGGAAATATGACTCCTCAAAAGGTTAATAATCGCACAATAGAGGATTTGGTGGACAGTGAAGGGGATGAATACCCAGTTGGTGAGGTCAGAAGAATGATGATAGGAATGTTTAATGAGCTTAAAGAGGACATGCAAAAACATCTCAAGGAATCCCAGAGAGAACATGTTGAAAAAAAAAAAACTTGAGAACAGAAACAACTAAAATGAACTCAAAAAAGGATTTCAACAAACATCACATGAAACTAAGAAAATCAATCAATCAATAAAAAGAGACAAATGAAATAAAGAAGACAGTGCAAGATGTGAAAGAAGAGCTTAACAAAGATATGGAAAGGAAAGAAAAGAAAAAGAGAGAAAGGAAAGAAAGAAAGAAAGAAAAAAAGAAAGGGAAGGGAGGGGAAGGGAAGGGAAGGGAAGAAAGAGAGTAATCCTGGGAAAGTTCCTTAAGTCAAATAAAAAATACAGTTGAAAACCACTCCAGCAGACTGGAACAAATGGAAGACAGAATTTCATGGCTCAAAGACAAAATAGATCTATATAAAGGTAAACCCAACAAAATAACAGATTTTTTAAAAGAAATCTTAAAAGTAAGAAAGATATGGAATGAGATATTTCAAGCTCTGAAAGAAAACAATTTCAATCCTAGGATACTCTACTCAGTGAAGGGTCATTCAAAATTGAAGGAGAAACAAAAACCTTCCATGATAAACAAACTAAAACAATATGGGAACCAATAAACCTTCACTCCAGAAGATTCTCAAAGGAATCCTATACACAGATGATGAAAATAAACATAGCCATGAAAGGATGGGAATTATTAAATCTCAAAAGAAGAGCAGACAAGAAATTAGAGAGTAACACAGAAATAACTGAACACACACAGACCCTTATAAAAAAAAAAAAAAAAAAAACAACTAAATAACAGGAACACCACATACCTCTCTTCAGGAGTAGTTATACTTATATCTGATAAAGTAAACTTCAAACCTAAATTAGTCAGAAGAGATGAAAAATGTCCCTTCATACTAATAAAAGCAGCATACAATAACAATTGTTAACTTAAATGTACTCAATGTTGATGCACCCAACTTCATTAAACATACACTACTGGATTTAAAAACACAGACAGGCTCCAACACAGTGATAGTGGGAGACTTCAGTACTCCTCTATCATCAAGACACAGGTTATCCAGACAAAAA